AGTGGGAGACCAGGTGAATTCGAAGCGCGATGAACATAAAAATATTCAACTGCAGCATGAGGACGCAGCCCAGCATTAGGCTGGTGGCCAGCCAATGCATGCGCATGTCGATGCGACTGGGCATGTAGGCAAAGAAGAGATTGTACCGCGCAACGGCGTATCGCATGCAAAGGCAGACAAAACCTGTAGAAACAAGGAGCAGGGGGGAGGGGGCGTGAAAGGAGGATAACTGAGATAGCGGTCGGTGCCGATCAAACTATAGTAAAATGTTCTTCATCTCAGTAAAACAAGCCTAAACACCAGCCTCTACAGCCCTAGTTTATGGTCAGTCTAATGGTCTCGTAAACTATTACATCAAGCACGGACCTACCTCTCTTGTCTCATTATTGTTGGGTTAGCAGAGGAACTTATCCGAGTTGCTCCACTCAGCGTTTCTGAATGCGATTTCTGTGACTATGGCTGTGTAACGCCATTTATTGTCTAACCTCGATCATTAATTCAGCGCTTTCCAAACAACAGAACCAGTTGGGGTCTATCAGAGGTACTCTAGTCACTATTTGATTAACGTTCACAGATCACTAACGTAACTCATTCGTCCCACTCTGCCTTGTGGCTAACTCTTGAGTCCAGATAGCAGCCACACAGCGGCTAGTAGTCTAGGTAGATAGCATTGCCAACAAAAATAAAGGAGACTGGAATGGACATTTCTAGCTCAATTGGCCGTCATCAGTCAGTCATGCTCCACCCGAGGCCATTCTACTGTTATTTCTTGACTGCCTTTGTACAGTTAGCATATGTAATCTTTCCCAGAGACCTGCAGCGGTGTTGTTATGTTCCATTTTTTTTTCGAAATCCAGAACCAGGGCGAAAAATAGCGCAAATACAAAATAACCGCTTAAAGTTGCTGCCGTCGCGAGTACCCTTAACCGTTTTTGCCCTGGCCACTTCTTTATTGACGTAATGTTCCTCTATCTACAAATTCTGGAAGGATAAATTTGTTCTCAATACTGTTCACTCGGTCAACCTATGAAGCCATGGTCAGTGGTGGCATACCCCTGGAGGCCCTCTGTACTCGAATAAGGCATACAACCAAAGCACACAAACAATCCCTAGCTTACGTCGAAGAACGTGTACACCTATCTGTCAGTTTAGGTTATGTAGTCTCGCCACTTCTCTACTTACAGGACAGACTCATTTCTAGACATAAGGACATTATCCACAAAGCTCAGAAAGATTGAAATGCCTCCCCAGTTGTTATCAGCCAGTCATGCCCAACCCCAGGTGTTGTGCCACCCAAGGCAGATGGATAAGAGAAGAGAGAGAGAGTGCGGTCGATGCTGCGGGAAGTCGACTATCATTTAAATCATAACTCACATTCAAGTCACTGCACCTGCCTGCTTAGAGCATAAGTTGGACCAAATCAAGACTGATGGCCGAACTCTCGCGTGCAAAAGCGGGAGATATTGGTAGTTCACAAACCAATCTGGGCGCTCGACCGACACAAAGTTTTATCAAGTGACTTTCAATGGCTACACCACTCGTAAGTGCATATTCCCATCATTTATGCTTCTGTCTTACCACTCAGATATTGTTACAGTATAGGAAATACCATGCTGTCATGCTTAACTAATTCTGGAATATGTTGTGCCCTTATTTAGGCAGAAGACGTTGTATAAATTCCAAACTATAGCTGGATACAGTAGTAATTCTACAATTAGCTTGAAAACGGTAAATGGGACTACCTTGCGAGATAAAGGGGTGGTAAAGATTGAGCTAATCATGTAAAAAGACGGAGCCCTGGGGCTGTGCGTTTTCTATTGAAAGATACACCCAGTGACTATAAAAAGATGATGTCATACTGTTGTCCTTTAGTACCGCACTTGAAGTGTACCCATTTAGACAGATTATGTTCTGTAAATTCCAAGCTAGAGCTAGGTACTATAGACAGTCAAAGATGGGCTGGAAAAACGGCACATGCCTCCCTCTTACGACCTAAATGCACGGTAGATATTGGGCTATTAGTAAAAACACGTTCCTTTAACCCTTCAGCCTACTAAACTGCCCATATAGGTTACGACTATATACTAGGTTAACATTTCTACGTGTATGTACAGGCCGCACTACAGCTTGCCACTTACTGGTTTTAGCAAGTATGATTACTATAACTAGCACTTTTAACACATGCACAGTGCTTCTAACAGAAGCATCCTGAAAAATGGCACATGCCACTTTGTTCTGACCTAAATACACGATGGATACTCAACTCTTACTACATGTACCTCTCTTTAGCCTTGAGCCTACTAATTTCCCCTTATAGGTTAAGACTGCACACTAGGTAACATGTCATACATGTGCATACAAGTTTTAGCAAGAAAGGTCACTAGAACTAGCAGTCCTGACATAGGCATAGCACTTCTAACAGTAGCATTCTAGCCCTAGCAGTGTAAACTTAGGAGAAAACCAGGACAAGAACTGATGTGCTCCGACCCCCAAACGCCTGCTTTACTGGGAATAGCAAAAATCGAGATCCACACTTCTATGTGAGATCAAAAGAACATGCTCCCAAACCTGACAGCAATCAGTGTCATTTCTGACCAAACATTATCAGCACTACTACCATTCAGCTATACCCTAGTTAGTAGTATAAGAAATAGCAGTAGTGGTAGTAGCAGTACCAGTCCTAACTCAACACCTACTATAGGTGAGTAAGGGTAAACAGTGCAGTAGTATCCGCACAAAGTCTACTGCCACCAAAGACTAAGTTAGGCGGTGAAGAAGTTCGGGAGTGATCCCCAAGACAGAACGGAGCGAATGAGTCCTATGACTGGTCCGTCAGAGTTCATCTGCCTAGGACTGTGGTCGCAAGGTAACAGCATCCAGAAAGTATCGTAACCAATGTGCATCCAATACTGCTGTCTGTTGTTGTCTTGACGCCACTTTCGAGCGTGAAGCAGAAACGTTAGGAGAAGGGATTTTTCGTTCCAACGATTGAGTTGGCCTCTTTTTGGTGGGTACAAGTATCCAGTCACAAATTTATCGAAACTAGTTGATCAAAAATCGTTACCAAGTCAAGTTGCTTTCAGGTAAGCTTCTGGTCAGGTAATTAAATAGTTCCGATTCGCAGCGAAAATATGCTATTCGTAATATCAAAAGCCTAGGTGGTTATTTGCAACACTGTCGGAAACGCTAAAAAGGCATGAGCATAAGAACACCTACCGAATGGCGTAATCAGCGGACACAATATGCTGTAGGAAGTTATCACGGCGAACGCACAAACCAGCCAGGCGTAGTTAATGCCAAAGTCGAACTCAACCAGAACGGCCTGAAGAAGAAAATACCAAGAGCAAATGCTAACATAAATGACAAAAATAATAGGGGGCCACACTGCAGCAAAGTCAAACATCTGAAGCTAGCAGAAGGATACATCAGCCTGCCTACATTCCAGCTCAACGTACATTTGCCAGATGCTCCCACTGCGAGGTTAGGTGCGGCATGCAGCCATAAAGTGGCACACACACACTGATTTGCTCAGCATTCAACAGCAAAAAAAGAAGAACTCGCCAGGAAATGCTGACATTTCAGTGAGCTATGTCCGCTCATAGAAGTAAAACTGACATGTCATACTAAAGGTGTTTGGTTTGATCTTTTTTCCCTCACATTGGGTGAGCTTGTTGTCTGGCCGTGCGTTCGTGGATTTCCTAAGTGTGGCCGCATTATTCAGGTCTTTATGCACGCAATGCCGCAGGACGTTAGAAGCTGCAGGAAAGTCCAAATGCCTGTTGAAGCAGTTGGCCTCTGAAAGCTGCGTCTCAAGTTTTTTCGTTCGGCCCTTGAAATGCCTCTGCCTAAGGCAGTCGATCCCTGAAGATCAAACGAGCAGGACACGGAAATCGGAGCCTCCACCTCCTATTAAGAAATAGTGCGTTAATTTTCCTGGAATTTCGCGCAATGCGTGGGCATCGGCTGGATGAAGCATAAACCACGCAGCTATGAGGCCCACCAAACATCAACCGAAAGCATCAGACAAAGTAAGATGAAATATTCGTGCCAAGCTAGTCGCCCATATGTTGAACGAATTTTTATCCTCTTTCGCTGCCCTATACCTTTGAGTGGATGTTCGATGACTGAGCCACAGCAGACGCGTCTTCGACCGCTTTCCCACCCGCCCTTACGGCGACCAAGGTCTGCTACACCAAACCTCCCTACGGTGGATCTATCTCCCCTCCTCACCATCCCTGTGTTCGATGACGGAGCAGCCCCTCGCGACCATGCTGCTCCGACTTCCCTTCGTCGCCGCCGGGATTGGGGCCAATTCGGCGGGACTCCTGATCGAACAAGAGCTACTAGCCAACCACAAGCGCAATCCACACAACTGCTTCAGACGGGACCAACTAAATGGGAGAGAGAGAGAGAGAGAGAGAGA